TGAACGGATGTTGATCGGTTCTACTTGGTTCTTGTCTGGCGCTCCCCGCCTTCCCGCCCCACTCCAGCGTCGATGATGGTGATGGTGATGGTGATGGTGATAAGGAGGAGGAGAAGAAGGAGGATGATGATGAGGAGGAGGAACAGGATGAGGGGGAACGTGAGGAGGAAAAAGACCCCTTTCTTCCTCCTCTTTCTCCCATCCTCCCTCCCTTCATGCCGCTTTCCCTCATCCACCCCAGGGAGAAGGACGACGATGATGCTGCTACTGCTGCTCCTGCTGATGATGTTGATGAAGATTCTGACGATAATGATGATGCTGATGAGGATGATGAGGATGATGGTGATGTTGTTGACGACGACGATGGTACTGCTGCTTACTGCTGCTGATGATGATGGTGACGACGACGATGATGATGATGCTCATGAAAGCGATGCTGATGATGATGAACATGAGGATGGAGACGACGCTGAGGATGTGGATAACTATGAGGACGACGATGATAACGATGAAGATGATGGTGAGGATGAGGATGAGGACAACGAAGACGATACTGATGATGATAACGATGATGCTGATGATGATGCTGACGATGATGATGCTACATATGAAACTGATGCTGATTATGATGGTGATGATGATGCTGACGATGATGCTGATGATGATGATGCTGGTTCGATGACGACAACGATGATGCTGACGATGATGATTCTACAAATGAAGATGATGCTGATTATGATGAGGATGCTGATGCTGATGATGATGCTGATGATGACGACGAGGGGGATGATGATGAATGTGAAGATAAGGATGACGATGTCGACGACGGTGAAGATGGTGAGGGTGAAGATAGGGATGAGGACGAGGACGACGACTATGATGATGCTGCCGCTAATGATTATGCTGATGATAATGATGATGCTGCTGATGATGCTGATGCTGATGCTGTCGATGATGCTGATGATGGTGATGCTGACGATGACGACGATGGGCGACGACGATGATGCTGCTGATGATGATAACGGTTACGACGGCGATGACGATGACGATGACGATGACGATGCTGCTGATCCTGATGTAGATGACGATGATGCTGCTGATGATGATGGTAGTGATAGTGACGATGATGCTGATAACGATGATGATGATGAGGATGCTGATGGTGATGATGATGCCGAGGCTGATGATGATGGTGATGATGATGGTGATGCTGATGCTGATGATGCTGATGATGATGCTGCTGATGTTGATGCTGATGGCGATGATGCTGACAAGTGTGATGATGCTGATGACGATGGTGATGATGCTGACGATACTACCCATGCTTATGATGATGATAAGAATGATGCTGACGCTGCTGATGATGCTGGTGATTATGCAGATGATGATGATGATGATGATGCTGATGATGGTGATGATGGAGATGATGGTAATGCTGATGATGCTGATGATGAGGATAATGATTAGGATGATGATGATGATGATGATGCTGCTGATGAGGGTGCTGCTGCTGCTGCTGATGATGATGATGATGCTGATGCTGATGCTGATGGTGACGATGATGCTGACGATGCTCATGATCTTGATGATGACGCATGCGGTTTTGAGGTTGCTGCTGCAGCTGATGATGATATCAGTCAGCATTGACTCCAAATAGATAGGAGGACAAAAGGAGGACGAGAGGAGGATGGGAGGAGGACGAAAGGAGGACGGGAGCAGGACGGGAGGAGGACGGGAGGAGCAACATCAAGCAAGCCCAAGCAAGCGGAAGCAAGCAGGCGCAAGCGAGCAAAAACAAGCAAGCACGCGCCAGCGACCGAGTGCACGCAAGCAAGGGCAAGGAAGAGCAAGCACGCGAGAGCAAGCACGCAAGAGCAAGCAAGCAAGTGCCATTGGAAAAAGGGGGGTTGCCATTAGAAAAAGGGGGGTGGGTCCTAAAGACCAATTCCTTATGATGAGCTAGGACTCCTATAGGGCAAGCTTATTTGGATACTTAGTCTGTTTCAATCACCAGCTGTAACTCGCCCAGCATACACTTGGCTGGTGCATGCGGCCGGCCAGGAGTGAGCCTTCCTCACTGCAGAATACGGGACTGAAGAAGGTGGAGGAAAAGGAAGAGGATGATGCTGATGATGACGTTGATGATGATGGTGATGATGCTGATGACGATGATGTTGATGATGATGCTGCTGATGATGCCGATGATGATGATAGTGATAGTGATTGTGATGATGATCATGATGATGATGATGATGCTGATGATGGTGATGATGATGCTGACGATGATTCTGATGAGTATGATGACACTGATGACGATGGCGATGATGATGCTGATGCTGGTGATGATGCTGCTGATGATGATGGTGATGATGCTGATGATGCTGATGATGATGATGAATATGGTGATGCTGATGATGATGCTGATGATGATGATGACGATGATGATGCTGCTGATGATGATGTCGATGCTGATGATGCTGATGATGATGCTTATGACGAT